TCTGATCTTTCTGTCTCCACCTCCCAAGTGCTGGGATCGGAACCTCTATGTGGTGCTGGGGATGGACCCCAGGGCTTTGCGCCTGCCAGGCAGGCATGCATTCTGCCAAGTGAGCTGATCCTCAGCTGCACTACAGATATCTTGGTGGACACACTCTCTCCTTATTTGGTTTAAAGCTAAGAGCTACTTCTCCCGACTTTCTGAGTCCTCTTTTCTGCACGCTCCCCAGCCCTGGAGCATGGGCTGTTAGGAAGTTCCTGCTCCATATTGGAGCTCTGCACCATCTGATGTGCAGTCTTCCTGGAGACACAGGCACCTTCCCAAAGTGGCCACTGTTAATCTTTGTCCCCTTCCTTGAGGCCAGCATGGCACTGCCTCCCCCGGGTACCATTTCCAGTTATCCGCAACCACGATGTCTCTGCAAATGTGTTTCCTTTTACAACATGGAGAAACCAAGCCACAAAGGCTCAGTCCCTCTGTTAGTAGATGCTCCCGGTCAAGGGGGAACCCTTCCACCTGGACCCATCATGCCTTCGCTCCTGGTAACGAGTATTCACTGTTACCCCCTGCTATGGGGGGTATTTATATTTATTTTTTTATCTATTCTACATCTTGACTGCAGCCTTCCCCACCCAATCTTCCTCTTAGTCCCCCCCCCACCCCCACCCCATCCCCTCCTCTTCCTTCTCTATCCAGGCAAGGGCAGGCCTCCCATGAGTTATCAATAAGATATGGCATATCAAGTTGCAGTAAGACTAAACACTTCCCCATCTATTAAGGCTAGGCAAATTGACCCAGTATGAGGAACAGGATTCCCCAAAGCTAGCAAGTTAGGAGTCCCCTAAGAGGACCAAGCTATATAACTATAATATACATATGAGCCCAGGTTAGTTGATTGTGTGAGCCTTCCCATGGTGTCCTTGACCTCTCTGGCTCCTACACTCCTTCCTCCTCCTCCTCTGCAGGGTTCCCAGTCTCTACCTAATGTTTGGCTGTGGGTCTCGGCCGCCATCAATTCATAGCTACTCTTTAATGTACCCACCTATGAACTCATTATCACAGCCTGGGGGTTAACATGTATCCCAAATGTAACACGCTCCAAAACAAACCTTTTCAGTTGCTCAGGTCTAAAACCCTAAGACACCTCCATTATTTTTCTCTCTCACATTTAACATTCAATCATCCAGAAGTCCTTGGTATGTTTCCCTCAACACACCAGAGCTACAGTTTCTACTGGTCTGAGACACTGGATTAATATCTGGTTTACGTGTAGCTCCAGCAGGACAGGAACTTGCTTCTTGGCCTTGGGCTCATGATCCTTCTGCCTCTTGGGTGCTGAAGTTATAGGTATGTCACCTCGACTGGGCTTACACCGCTTTCCCACAGTGGGGGTGGTCTTGTTAAAATACCACCTCATGCCAGGCATGTTGGCACACACCTTTAATTCCAGCACTTGGGAGGCAGAGGCAGGCAGATCTCTGTGAGTTCAAGGCCAGCCTGGTCTACAAGAGTGAGATACAGGACAGCCAAGGAAATATAGTGAGACCCTGTCTCAAAAGAATCAAAACAAATAAATAAATAGGTAGATAGGTTAAGTCAGAAGACAGACAGACAGACAGAGACAGACAATACCACCTCATGAAAACCCTCAGCTCATAATGGTCCAAGTGGGTCCGGTCTCATTCGAGCAAAGTCACCTTCCAGAAGCGACAAAGCTCTACACGGCGTGGCCGCTGCTGCCTCTCAGAGGCCAGCTTCACCTTTAGTATGCCAGGAAAACCCTTGCTTGCTTGGGTCACCACGGGGAGGGCGGCTTCCTAGGTTCGCCTCAGACCCTGATTTGTAAGACACAAGCCTCACATGGTACTGGAACCACTTACAGACAGGACTGGAGCGGAAGCTAGAATGCACAGACAGCTTCAAGCCCTGAGCTCCGCCCTTGATGGAGAATCTATGCAACTGTCAGGGCAATGCTCCACACTGCTCTCTTTGCCCCCTCTTGTCAGTCTTACACGACAGAATGGTCGACACCTCTGCTCAGACACAAATGCTCCCCCAAATTACAGATGTCCAAAAAACATGGCTTCCTGCCTGGCATTAATTACTCTTTCAGCTGAGACAACCCCACCAATCAGAGGCCACATATAAGCACTGCTGCCTAGCAACAGACGTGAAGCTTTACCTGTATCAGGTCTCCAGGGGAACAGAGGATGAGGAAGAGAAGGAGCGAAACTACAGGAAGTGAAGGGACCCCATGTCTCTACACCCCTGTTCTAGCCTGGGGTACTCCTTCCAAACGTGTGACCCGTCCCTGCCCGTCTTCAATTCCTTGGGCCAAAAGCCACCCTGGCCGACTTCCCCTCGGGTCTCTCTCCCTTCTGCGTAGTTCAGTTTTCTCTTGCCCTACTTCCCTTCTAAGTTTTCTTGCCCTCCTTCCCTTCTAAGTTTTCTAACAGTTCCCTTCTGCCCATTAACTGCAATTCTGTGGTTTTGGTTACCCACTGTCAACTGTGGTCCTAAAATATTAAATGGAAATCTCAGAAATAAGTGATTCATGCATCCACGCACTTCGTGCTGAGCAGCGTGGTTCTAGTCACTTAGCAATTGTCTGGGTTTCCAGGATGGCGGTGGGAGGGTGCCCTGGCGCCTGCATCCCTGCAAACCTGTCTTGTTAAAGTGCCCCTTGAGCACCAGGAGAGGCGATCTGAACAAATCGACAAGCCCCAAGAAGAGGTCCCAATTAAACAGGGAAAAAAAATAAAAGAGATTTGCTGAGGTTGCTAAGAGCCATATAATGTAAGAACAAATAGAAAAACATCAGGCTTGGTAGAATCCTTTCGGAAGCCGTTGGGGGCCTTTTATGTATCGATTGCCTCACTGTTACCATTTACATTTACTGGATTCTGCTTGTTTCCTTCTCTCCTTCTCCTCCGGCTGAGGTGGGCTTTGATTGTTATTCATTTAGTGCGTGTGCTCTCGCATGTGCCACAGGAAGAGGCCAGTTTTCTGAAATCAGTACTCATCTTCCACCATGTGGTTCTTAGGACCCAGCTCCGCCGGGCGGGCTTGGTAGCAAGTGTCCTTACCCTCTGAGTCACCTCGCCAGCCGGAGGCTTTTCTATCTTTTATTTTTCCTTCCTTCACTGGCAATTCTCAGTACAGCAATGCCGGGCACACGGTAGTGTGTCCTTCCACAGTTATTTTACTTATGAGAAGGCCTCTGCTTTCCCTCTGTTTTAGACTTTAGTTTTTCCCTGGTATTCCTTTCTGAGTAGGTGGGGAGAAGGGAACTGCGTTCTGAGACACGGTGCCATGTAGCTCAGGCTAGCCTGGAACTCATTATGTTGGATGGACCTCGACTCTCCTCCTGGTTCCAATTTCCAAGTGCTGGGGTTATGAGTGTTCACCGCCAGGCTAGCTAGCAAAATGTTTTTATTGCCCAAATAAAACACAGCGAGCATGGTCTTAGGGAGGAGGAACAAGCACTCTGGATCCAAATCGCTTGGGTTTAAAGGACAGCTCTGCTGCCCACAGGGACGGTTCCCTTACCCTCTGTGTAGCCAGGATAGTGAGTGACAGGTCCTGTCTGAGAGTTGGAACAAGGAAGGAATGAGTCACCACAGCAGTGACATGTCCAGAAGGATGGCCAGCATACAAGCAGCGTTAGGACACACGTTAATGATTAACAATAGCATCTTTTAAAGGCCTTCATTTCTACACTGTATCATTTCTGGGAACTTTTTCTTTCTTCCTACATCCCCCAGCTGTTTTTCCTGAGGGTCCCACCGACCCGCAGCCTCTGACTTCCATCCATTTATCCAACCACTGAACTGAGGTTTCTAAGGGGCCAGATGTTGGTTGGGAACTGCCTGCTGTTGTTACCCACACCTTCTCCGGAGCACGGGGACTCTCCTGTTCTCCACCTGGCCCTACTGCTCCCCATCGCTCCTCCCGGAACTCTTAGCACCGCTCCTGACATCCTTTCCCTCCCCTCATTCCCCTGGGATGATTCCAGCCCCCGCCCCCACACCACAGTGACATCATCCCAGCGACACCCAACCTGCAGCAGTCCTTCCGAGAGTTTCCTACCAATGCCATCATCTTCCTTTCTCCAGCTTCCTCCCCCCTCCTGGAGCCTTCTCCCCATTCTTCCAGCTCCCACCCTCTACCGGCCAGTTCATTCTCTGATTGTTAATGCAACTATTACCCCTTTTTTCCTCATGCCTCGGCTAAGCTGAGTTCTTTCCTCTGTGCTTCCTTCCTACCTGTGGGGCTGGCATCACTAACAGTCTCTTCTGCTTGCCCGTAAGCTTACCCACCCCCCATCCCCGGAAATTAACTACATACAGTCTCTAGGTCCTTCGAGTGGGGCGCCTGGCACAGTAACAGGTATGAAGATACATCTGCATTTGTACATGGATAGGAAGCTTCTAGAGAGAATGCCTCTGTGGCTGGGTTACATTTTAACACAGAACTAGACACCGAGTAAGCACACCTTGGCCTCTCCCGGAAATAGCAACTCTCCCAGAAAGACTCAGGCTCAAGCAAAAGAGGCGAGGAAAACACACACACACACACACACACACACACACACACACACACACACACACACGCTGTATGGAAGTGGCACTGTGAATACTTCAATGTGAAGGCAAGGATGCTAATGAGGTCAAGTGTCACCGGAGCATGTGGCTTCCTTGCATTCTAGCCCAGCACCATCTTTATCAGGAAGGTTCAGCAGGTTCTCTGCCCGATTACCAATGCCATAGTTACCTGGGACCTCCCCATGCAGCCAGCTTCCTCTCCTCCCTCCCCGTCTTCTCTTCCTCCTCTCTTTCTGCCCTGTATAGTGCTGGGGGGAGGGGGTGATTGAACCCAGGGATTCGTGTATTTATCCCAGGCATCTCCCAACAGCAAGCTGCATCCCCAGGCCAGAAGAGCCAGCCCCTTCCTTAAATCCCACCGTTTGACTTTCAGTCCTCTGGGAGTCGGGCACTTACCTGTAAAGTACATCCAAACACCCCGATCATCAGCATGGCCACCGAGAGGTAATCTGTGAACACATCCCACCATGGCTTCAGCACCCGGAAGGCGGGCTGCTGCTCGGAGAATTGCCGGAACTCTGTCACTGGAATCATGTTTCTGAGAAAGGAGAGGACACTGGTGAGCTAACTTTTCTTTGGACATCACATAGGGCATTGTGTTGTTGTTCAGCAACGTCGGGAATGCTTTTGTGAACCCGCAAGAGCAGGGTCTTCAGAAGCCAAGGGGACGGACACACGGTGTTCCTGATCTGGTGAAGGACCACCAACGGAAGGAATGAAGAGTTAGCATCTGGTAACCAAGCTCCTTTCCTCGGGCTCAGACATACCCAGCGATTCCCTGGGTCCTCACTTCCTCACATCCTCAAGTAGAGCTTGAAGATTCCACAGAGATGGGGTCCATGCTCTGAAATGTCTTTGCCATTTCTGGACTTCTTGGGCTGTGATTTAGAGTCCCTGTCATTTCTGTATCCATTTGTTACTGCTTTACTGATATCGATCCTAGGGTGCTTCATTTACCCCACGGGGAAGGAAAACCATGTGGCTACATGGTTGTCCTTTAGTAGACTGGAGGTGTGTGTCATTTTCTCCTCATTTTTTTTTTTTTGGTCTAAATGCTTCTGTTTCCATTCCCTTTCTGTGTCTTACACGCCACATCCCACTGTGACTCTCAAACGTATCCCGAGTTTCTGTTCTGAGAAATCGGTTTGCCCTGGAAACTTGCCACACTTTGGGTGAGCGCTCCCTTGAGGTCAGCGTTAACACAGGTATGGCCACCGCCCTATGGTGCTTTTAGAAGGGGGAAGACCTTTAAGATGTCAGGCTCCGTAGAAGGAAATTAGGTCACTGTGAGAGCGTCCCTTGAGGGGATCCCTGTGCTTGCTTCTCCCTCAGCTTCCCAGCTGTCACATGACCAGTGGGCCCTGCCTGCCATGTGCTCCAGTCTAGACATAACTCCAAGTCAAAGACTCAAAATCAATAGGCAAACAGACGATGGACTAAAGTGTTTAAGACCATGGACCGGAAGAAGTCTTTATCCCAGGTGTCAGTCACAGTGATACACAAAAGCAACCCAAAAATGGTGTCTCTACAAAAACCGACCGGTCAGCATTGAATGGGACATGACATTGCCCCCCCCCCCGCTCCAAGCCTAGGGAACTATGGAAGAGGGGGCAGGAAGGAGATGATGAGTGCTACAAAGTGCTGTGTCCTTGACGGGACACGGACATTTGCAACTGTGAACACATATCCACCTGGGTAGCTGCCTGTGACCTGAATGAGACCGGGACCTACAATATTCCACTGTGAGCGGGGGCGGGGCCGTGGCGACCACAACTGCCCAAGGAGTTACGGGAGTTAGTGGTTACAGCAGGAGGAAACCAGAGACCTCTGCGAGAGGTCTGAGCAAGGGCTGAGCCACCTCTCCAGGCCCCCCCCTCAAATATTTTAAAAGCTACCGCTACGTGAACAGCAGCCACGGAAAGCACACAGTACACCCGGAGGACCTGGGGGAGGGTAATGGTCACGCCCTCTTACTCTCATCTCTCGAGTGCCCACTCTCACAACCTCCTCCGTGACCCACGACTCCCGGGAATTTGTTGGTGGCCATGGCTTTGCAAAGTTATCACACTGTTCATTTTGTCTTAACGCTTTACAACTCTATTTGGTTTAGTTTTGCTTTGTTTTAAGACAGGGCCTCTCTACATAGACCTGGCTGTCCTGGAACTCACTCTGTAGACCAGGCTGGCCTCAAACTCACAGAGATCTGATGGGGGGATGTCCTTCTCTTATTGGTTGATGAGTAAAACACTGTTTGGTGATTAAAGGCAGGAAGATAGGCAGGGCGAGGAGACGAGGAGAATTCTGGGAAAGGCACTCTGAGGGAACCCGACCAAAGGAGTCACCATGTAAGGACCGGGAAGAAAGGACACACGAGGCATTCTCCGGCAAGATAAGACCACGTGGAAATAACTAAATTAATAGAAATGGGTTAACAATTCAGACAGAGCTAGCCAATAAGAAGCCCTAGCCATTGACCAATAGTTTTATAATTAATACAGTGCCCATGTGTTTATTTGGGGACAAGAAAATACAGCCACAGAGATCCACCTGCCTCTGCCTCCGGAATGCTGGGACTAAAAGTGTGCACTACCATGCCCAGCTACAGCTATTTCTTAAGCAATAATTTGGCCTTTACTCTTTTGGGTTTCTTCTTTAATTATACTGGGAAATTTCAGCCTTGACATCTGAGCGGCACTGATGTATTTTTTTTCCATCCTACTGAAACACAATTCCACACTAGCTCCATCGGCCACCAGCAGCTTCTCGAGAACTGAGCCTACTATGTTATGCATGCGTGCCTGCCTGTCCTAGCTTGCTTTCTATTGCTGTGATAAACACCATGACCAAGGGAAACCTGGGGAGGACAGGGTGTATTTGGCTCCCGTGTCCTGATCACAGCCCACCTCTGAGGAAACACCCAGGCAGAAACTCAAGCAGGGTAGGGGCACAAAGGCAAGACCGGAAGTAGAGCCCACGGATGAACCCTGCCTACAACAGGCTTGCTCTCCATGGTTTGCTCGATTTGCTTCTTTATACAACTCGGGACCACCAGCCCAAGGGTGACACCAACCCTAGTGGGCTGTGCCCCCATTAACCATTACTCAAGAAAATGCCCCCCACAAACTTGTCCACAGGGCAAGCTTGACGGAGGCAATTCCTCGAATGACGCTCTTTCTTCTAAGATGACTCTTGCTGGAACCGAGCTGACACCAGTGGGTGTCCTTAAAGCCCGCTTCCGGCAAACCCCTCAAACGCACCCAATGGTTTCAATCAGTCCTAGAGCACAGGGCTAGCTCACACCATTTGCCCTCTTCCTGAGTGAACCACGACTGCCTCAGCATCCTCAATGGACTGAGGTCACTTGTTTGACACAGACAGGCTCTACATCAGCTGGCTCTGCTCCAGAGGTGGCATTCACGTCATCAGCCATCATTCCTGGAAACCAAGAAGCTCTGAGCAGTTGTTGGAGAAAGAAAGGGATGGGTGTAGACGCTCATTCATCTGGGGGTAGCAGTGGCGACTACTACAGCACTGTTCTTCCACAGGTTTGGTTGTTGACTCTTTCTCAAGTCCCTGTAACCTTTGAAAGAACTGGGATTGTTCACTTAGTCAGTGGACAATTTCAGGAAGGAAAAATCGCCACTGTGGAGCAGTGGGCTTGAAACCTCGTTCTCCCCTTTGTGCTCAAAATGTAACAGAAATCCCAAAGTGTTTGCTATGCCCTTGATTAACGTTAGAGATGAAAAAAACATGAATTTTTAAAAACACGTATTCACTTACGAAAAAGAGTATAAACGTACGGTATAAAAAGTGTTGGCTGCACATTAATGAATGTTCCTCATGAAAGTCAGTCAGCAAGATGATGAACTCAAAAATGAAAAAAAAACCTCATTGCATGTTAACATATATTATTATGAAAAATCAAATGTTCTAAAACACAAAGGGATGGCACTATTTTACACTTTTGCAAATCTCTCCAACTTCTAAATAGAGATGACAGCTGGATTCTCAGGTCTGGATTTGAAGCCAGTGTGTTGTGACATGCTGTTTGGGTTAAAATGCATGAGACTGAACACAGCCTCAGGAAGATATGAGTTCAGAAATGCAAGAACTATGTGAATGGCCTCTCACGTAACTGTGGATGCTTATTTTTGAGACCATGACTAGTTAGTTGCAGAACGGATGATAGGGAGGCAGCAATGAACCTCACTACAAGGGCTTCTCTTGGCCCCCAAGAGTGCCAAAGGCAATGGGCATTAGCTAATGCATATGCGGTTGGAACCTAGCAGGTAGAAAAGTTTAAGCTCCTCTAGAGGTGGGCTGCTGACTCTACTGCGTATACTTTGTAACTTTCTCTCCTGGAATAAAATGTTCACCCAGCTGCAGGCCCTTTGTGGCCAATGCAGAGAGGCATCAGCTGGCTACAGTTGCAGTACAATGCCACTTAAGGATGCATTAGACCTGCCTGCAGGCAGGCAGCCACCCAGATCACCAAGCATGATTGCCAGGTAGGCAGCAGCTTGACTGCAGGCTGGTGTAGCCAGGGAGGCAGGCAGCGTTCCTCCCTCACTTTAGGCCAAAATGATCAGCTAGAGCCAGCCCCACTGAATTCATTGGTGCTAGAGAATGCAGAGGCTCCACGGATGCCCAGGATGAGGAAGTCAGCTATTGCTAGGAACACATGGACTGTTTTCATGCTGTATTAACATAGTTAATGTTTCACGTTAGTAACTCCTTAGTTACAGACTGCTGAGAATGGCCAACGGCTGTCGGGCATGAATGGCAACAGATTCTGAGTTGTCCATCAAGGTTGTCTTTAACAACCACACTGTGTTTTATGGAATGTTGTTCTGCCAATCTTTGCTTTCAGTATGGAGCTGGAGACATAGGCTCGGCACGTAAGAACATGGCTGCTCTTCCAGAGAACAGGTCTCCAGGACCCACATGGTAGCTCTCAACTGTCTGTAACTCCAGCTCTAAGGAAGCTGCTGCCTTCTGCTGCCTCCAAGGGCATATGCATACTTGTGGGGAAAAGACCCACCCCTCACAATAAACAGGCCTAGAAAGTTGCTTGCGGGACATGCACATACCCACAGGAGCAAAGATGAGAAGTCAGCTCACAAAGAGAACAGGGCCTAGATGCAACTGTGAAGTTCCTGGGAACTTTATGGCTGGGGGGACACAGATAACACTGAGGAGATTGGAAGAATACAGTGATAGTCTGTCACTATCAATATCGCACAGTGGGTAAATGCATTCTGTGTGCAAAGGGATTCTCCCAGAAGCCATAGGGCTGTTGACTGAGGATCCCAGTGCTAGGACGGGGTTATTTTCCTATGAGTTGTTGGCCAATGAAGCCCTAGAGACCCCCTAAATGATAAGATACCATCACTACTGTTGGTTGCATGTCACAACTAGACCAGATTTCTGAAGACATCTCTTGCTTTGGTTGCAAGACTTGAGACATCAAGTTGAGACGGAACCTTCCCTTGAGATCGGCTTTTGCAGTGCCAGATGTGTTCTTTAGGTGCCTGGGAAATAATGGCCCAAAGCCCTAATCATCTGGGTGTCTACAGGTACTGAAAGCTGTCTGAGAGACAGGAATACACCCAAAGGATCAATGTTGGGAAGTCACCTCAGTCAGTCAAAGGATGCAAGGGCCAGGAGCTACACAAGTGCCAGGCGAGATGTGTCAGATCACACAACAGTGGCTTCAAGTGTTATGGGTGAAATCAACTTTGGACTTGATCCCACAGGGGGGAAATTTCACATCTGGTCCTATGAGCTTTGCCAGTTGCTTTGTTCAAAGAATATGACTCTCTGCTAAGGTGTTTTGCAAGCATTCGCGTTTACGCTCAAGGGGTTTAACTTCCAGTGTCGGCGTTCGTTCAAGCGTCTTCCCATTTCTCGTTTCCCCCCTCGTTTGTATTTTGTAATAGAAGGGCTTTCTTTGAGCCACACTGTGGAGATGGGAGACACAGGGTAAGGGGGGGCGCGGTTGGGTATCCCACTGGAGTTAGAGAACAGCAGGACATCTGCGTCACCCCTCTCTAAGGCTCAAGAACTATTGTGGAAGAGTGGGGTGGGAAACTGTGAAATGAGTGACTAAGCCCCACCTCAAGCAACTCCTGGGGCATTTCCTGGCGGCACCTCTACACCCTGGGGATGTTCTGCATCTTTCCCATGCAGCCACATGGTCACCAACACAACCTCTAGCTGAAAGATGGGCGGAAGCTAAAACAGTAACTTTGACTGAGTCAAAGGGACATTATATGAAACCGAGTTTTTTTTTTTTCTTCTTGTTTTTGGTTTTTTGAGACAGGGTTTCTCTGTATTGTTTTGGAGGCTGTCCTGGAATTATCTCTGTAGACTAGGCTTGGTCTTGAACTCACAGAGATCCACCTGCCTCTGCCTCCCGAGTGCTGGGATTAAAGGCTTGCGCCACCACCGCCCGGCTTTGAAACCGAGTTTTAAAACAAACTACGCACTTAGGAAGACTACACTCCTCCCGCTCCGGTCTGGGGCCTTCATCTTGATTTATGAAGAGTCGGCGACAAAGAACGAAAGACAGGTTAGCGCCACAAAATGTCGATCTTGTGGGGTCCCTCACAGGTGGGGGCTAGTGGGGGTTCCACGGGCTACCAAGGAACAGGCTCACTGGTCCTTACTGACGGCTTTCCTTGGAAAGGCCAAGGGTCTGGAACTCACGGCAGGTGAGACTCCCCGAGCCAGTGGCTGAGGAGTCTCCCAGGCTTCATGCTCTACTGTGGGAAATGAAGCTGAACTATGGAGCCAAAGCATGCTGGCGAGGTGCTCAGTGGCACCGTTAGGAGGCGTGGCCTTGTGGGAGGGCGTGGGCATCACTGCCAGCCCTGCTGGAGGTTTTGTTGCTTTGTTTTGCAGTGAGCAGGGGTTAAATCTCCCTGTGTGATGCTCAGCACCGTGGAACCATCCGTTCCCCTTTCAGCTTCCGTTTGTTTGTTTCTGACCGCCCTGGCTGTTTGCCCCTCCCACCCCGGCCCGGACCTTCCATTTTGTGCGCTGAGCCTTGGGTGATTTTCTTCCCTCACTCCTTGGGCGACTGCATCACGGTCACAGCCCGCATCAAATCCACCCCGCGGCTGCACCTCCATCTCGACGCAAATATCCTATTCGCTCCATCTCACTCAGTTACCCACTCGATAAACCAAACTCGGTTTTCCAAATTCTGCCCATGCCAACCCCTTACTTCCCACCCTCACGGCAAAGCCCTGCTTCGTATGTGTAAACGACAACTGTGTCCCGCCAGTTGCCAAGGGCCACAACCCTTCACTCTCCCTGTGTCTGTCTTATAGCCACAGTTAATCCGTCCAAAAGAAAACTCAGGTTTCTTACTGAGCCGCCTCTTCCCTTCCATGACAACCTGAGTTTCACAAAAACAGGTTCTTTTTCTTTCTCAGTCCTACTTTGTTCGCAGATATGCTACAAACATGTAGAGAATAAGGGACAAAAGTCTGATGAAATTAACAACCCTGAGGAGGTAACTCAGCAAGCGGGACAGGGTGCCTCTTGTTCTGTAAGAACAAGGACCTGAGTTTGCCTAGTACTGGGTTCAGCGAGGGACTCTGTGAATGAGGCAGAGTCACACGGCAAGGTACCCAGTGTCCTCCTCTGCACTCTGCATAATATATTTTGCGGAGCACTCGATCATACACACGTGTGTGCGTACTGCACAAACATCCTATATATATATATATACATACACACATACATACATGTATATATATAATTACAAATATACACATAAAATGGTGAGTATCTGTAATTCTAGTGAGGAAGAGGGGTAAACTGTTTTCAATTTTACAGCAGTCACCACAGGCAGACGGTCCCTCTGCCTGTGTAGGGCCAGGGCCTGAGCATGGCGGAGGCCAGGATGGAGAAGGCACACATGGCTTTACACCCACAGACTCTTCCCCTTTGCACCAAGGGGCCCACGGGTGAAAGGAAGTCACAGGGACCCACTCAAAGCATCTGCCGTAAAACAAGCTGCTGTTCTTCAGCAGCTCGAGGAGGGATGAAAGAGGCGCACTTCCCCAGAGACATAACAGTACGTCCTTCTTCCTCGGGAGAGCGGGCGTGACCCTGGACAGAGTCTTACTATGTGGCACACACGACAACATCCTTCTGGGAAAATCCACCAGAGGAGGCTGTGATGCTACAGAAACGCGCTGTGTTAAAGGAGAGGAGTCCTAAGTGCATTACAAGTTAGTACTGGCAGGGACCAGGGGGTTGGTCACCCCGTTCATACCATCATGTTAGCGGTGAGAAGCCTGAGCCACGGGAGACCCGACGCTCGATCAAGGACGAAAGCCAGCTGGCGGAGGCCCGGAACTCCCAGCTGAAGTTCTTTGTGCGGGAGTTCCTTGATGAGGTCACAGGACGCTGAGGAGGGTTTACGGAACCCAACGAGTTCTGAATGCATAGTTGAAGTAGAATTTCCCCCGCTTCCAGTGCCCTTTGGTGGACTGTCAGCAATAAAAACCCTCCAGGGCTATGAAAGCACAAGACCCTTAAAGACATATGTACCACCCTCAGGCCATCGTGAAATGAAAGCGGCTGACTCAAAGGAGGCTTAAAGGTAGAGTTGGCCTTGTGACCTAAGCGGTTCCTCCATATTACCAGCTCTTGGGAGGGCTCAATGACCTTATATGAAAAGTCTTCAGTTTGAACTTCCCATGATTTCCACGGGCAGAGATGGCAGGAAGTGAAAATCACTCCAGTTAGCACTTTCGGTTCTGTCTTCACAAGGGAAAAGATAAATTTCCTTTGCTGCCATCTCCTTTGAATATTCAAGAATGATTCCGTTTGTAAATGTGGACAGGAAGCCATGCGCCGAGGCCTGGCTTTGTAGGATGTTTCTGGGAACGCTATGGTAGCCACCGCCCTTTGAAGCTACTAAAAACGTGTCGCAGAGTTGATCAGGAGCTGTTTGGGGCAACTTGCAGCCTGAAGCACGATTCTTTCATTACTAATTGGCTTGCTATAAATGAGTTATGAAAGTGAATTATGCCTGGCCTTGTGCTAGGAGCTCAGGAAATAGAGGAGACCACAACAGACGAGGTACTGTCTCCTCACCACAAACTCTGTCAGGGGAGGGGACCCGCTAGCTGGATTCCCACGAATCCAACACTGCAATGCTCTTCTTTCTAATCAGAGTTGATTTGTGTTCCTCAACCGATGCTGCAGAGGTTTTGTTTTATTTCAGTGGAGACAACACTGAATATGTGTTGTGACTTATCTCAGAATCTTCTAGAAAACAGACGGGGCCTTAGAAATTATTAATGCTTATCTGCTAAGTTGAAATCACACACACACACACACACCAATGAAGCAACTTGTAGTAAATACCAAATCCTTCTACTATGCTACTCTCTTACAAACTTGATATTGCAATAAAGAAAACCAAAAGCATTAACACATAGAAGCATATTGTAAAAAAAGTGATTGATCAGAACACATCTGGTATTAGAGAAAATGCCTGAGAAGAGCAAAGGCGTTGGGAGCTATGTGTCGTATCAAAGCTGAGTGTGGTGATATCTCGTTTGTGCTCTAACAAATAAAGCTTGCACCAAGATCAGAGGGCGGAGCGAGCCATTAGCTAACCATAGAGGTCTGCGCAGACAGACAGGAAGTGATAGGGCTGGGCAGAGAGAGGAAATGATAAGGTGGGAGGAGACAGGAGCTCAGGTTCTTTTCAGCTGGGAAGTTGAGTGGGTAAGGTGGCTGTGGTTTTCTCCCTCGTCTCTCTGATCTCTCAGCATTTCCCCCTTGTCTGACTCCAGGCATTTATTATTAAGGGCAATTAGAACTCATGTCATGGCCAAGGATTGGTGAAACCTATTCTATGCCTGCCTGACACTATTGCTGGAGCCGGTGTGCCGATGGGAATGTGTTCCTACGTCTCAGCTTGGCCCCAAGGGAAGGGCCACTGTGCCTTGTCTGAACGTGATGACGACAGGATAGAAACAGCTCGAAACTGAGTCTGGGCTTCTGCATTTCCACTAAGTGGCCAAGGATGACTTTTAGCTCCTGATATTCCTACCTTACCTCCTCAGTGCTGGGTTGCAGGTGTGGTCAGTATACCCTGCTTATACAGAGCTGGGGGGTCAAACCAGGGCTGCAGGCAGGGTGGGCAAGCACTCTACCAACCAAGATACACCCCTAGTCCCTCCACTGGCCTTTAAAAAACAACAGAAAACCATCATTCTTTATTGCTTCTTTGGAAATTTTACATCATGCATCCCAATTCCACTCACCTCCCAGTCCCTCCATATCTGTCCCTCACCCCTGTAGTATGCCCCTCCAAACTGATTAAAAACCAAACCAAGCAAACCAAACCTCTTCATCCACCCACCAGATGCCCATTGCAATGAGGCATTGGTTTGGTTCAGGCCTCTGACACACCATCATCATTGGTCCCTCACCGAAACTCCTGCTGGCTATGCTGCCACTGCCCAAGCCATGGAGACCCTGCAGTCACCATTCTGCATGACGGGTCCCCCTGCTTGCACTCCAGCAGGCCACAGATGGGGCGGACATTAGGGTGGGCTAACCCAAGGCCCAGGATGTGAGTCTGGGAGATGGCTGAGCTGCTGGGTTTGGGCCACTAGGACCACCCTCAGGCGAGGGGTGGGGCTAGCTCTTCGAGGTCCATGGCCTCGGGGCCAGCTCTCCCACAACCTTCCACTGGCCTTCTTCATTTGACTTAACTTTCTTTTCTATCATTCAGACCAGAACCATCTCTCAGGAGGTGAATGTGCACACATAATCCGGACCAATAGGAGTCCCACTCTCTAAGCGCTCTGTATGTGTCCCTTAAACACGCCTTGTGAATCAACGGCTATGGCTCTGATGATGTTTCTGGGCACCTTATCCACCTCAACACGAAAAATAAAAAACCAGGTGTTCAATTCACATGCATATGTCAGTAATAGTCCATCTGCAGATTTATCTCCTTCAGTGAACACAGTTTACCTTCAAGGAAGACTGGTAGCTCTCTCTCTCTCTCTCTCTCTCTCTCTCTCTCTCTCTCTCTCTCTCTCTCTCACACACACACACACACACACACACACACACACACACACACACACAGAGTAACTGTCAGTTCTAAGCAGTCTCACACAAGGCACACAGGGCAGACCAGAAAGCCCAGGCCAAACAAGACTGTGCCTAGCTGTCTACCAAAGCTGGGTGGAGCTGTCCATCTAGAAACCATTCTTTCAAGGGAGAGGAGACCAGAAAAGTCCGGCAGCCCCTGTCCTCCAGAACACTGAAACTCAAATTTCCCCACTCGATGCTTAACCTCTGAAGTTTAGAGAAACTTAAAACCGAGGCTTCCCTTCTAATGCATCTTCCTCACCCAGAAAGCTAAATGGGCGATGAGTCTGCTTGTATCTCCCGCCAGCTGTTGATAAGCTTCTCCTGTTGGGCATGGGCAGCCAAGTCCACGCAAGGACGAGGCCTAGGCTGGAGTCTCTAGCAAAGAGGCACAGCTCAGGAGACCCGGTACGGAACTCACCAGGATACTCAAAACAGGCATGGATGCGACTGGAAACTAGGTATTAAGTATCTGACCGTCCCTCTAGTAAACATGTAGTGTAAAACTTGGTGCCTACAGGATAAAAATTGGTCGGGTCAGGTGGGACATCTTTTCTGGATCTGACACCACAAGAGTTCCTGCTCCCAAGTTTTCTTTCCAGCGGATGAAGCAAAATGCAATCAAACGTAAAGACAGATAAATAGAGTCACCAATCCCAGCACCTGGGGGGGGCCGTCAACAACACAGTTTCAGTGAAAGGCCTAGACCGAAGGATGTGGCCATAGGCTGCTGGTCTTTTAATAGATGGGTTGTCTCAAAGACCTATAAAGGGGAAAATGCTGTATTATTAAAATATAGCAGTTTCTGAAGATGAGTGTGCTTTTCGATTTAAAAAGTTAAAAATGAAACCATCAGTGCCAAACCGGGATCCGTGCGGCTCTCAGACCTCACTGGAGAAATCCCCCTTCCGCCGTGGGAAGAGGTTAATGCAGAAACTCACAACTGAAGAGAGCACAGAGAACAGCGGACTCTGCTCTGTCACACATGAGGCGTCTACATCACAGACTTTCCCCTAGGTTCAGGGCCCCTCACAGGAGAGGGGGTCAGAGTAAAACAGCACCTGCTGCACACGACGGGACTCTGCGTCATGAACTCAGAGGCCCACACAACAGGATCAAGCTAGTCTACACTGATGGCGGGGAATCGGAAGGGGGCCAGGAACCCCCACCGCTCACTGAGGAGCTGTGGATATCTGATGGTTTCTAGGGGAAGGACGGTCACTTTTCCTTAAGCGCGTGGTTCCTGGTAGGTTGACTACACTCCGCTGGATGTCCTCACATCCAAAATAGGGATGGCACAAGCTGGAGTCACTGGATAATTGTGCCACAAACCAAATGGATATGAACTTGGAGAAGCTGAAGGAGGTGGGTGGACCTGGGAGTATGAGGAATATGAGATATGCAAAGGATTGACAGAAGTATTTTTAAAAGATAAAAAACAAAATAGAAGGAAACACTTTTAAAAAATTCAGGTAATTCTGGGCCATAGCCAACACAATTCCATTTTATTTATTTTTTAGTATTTTTTTTAGATTTTATTCATTCACACAGTACGAGTGTTTCGCCTGTATGGGTGTGTGTCTACTGTCTGCATGCTTGGTTCTGGAGGGGTCAGGAGAGGGTGCTGGATCCTATGGGATTGGAGTGATGGACGGTTGTGAGCTCTTCTGTGGGTGCTGGGAACTGATCTTGGCTCCTCCCCAAGAACAAGTGCTTTTAATTACTTAGCTGTCTCCCCATCCTCCATGGGTGGTGGTTTGGATGAGAACGGCCCCCATTGGCTCCTATATTTGTAGTCTTGGTCTTCAGCTGGTGAACTGTTTAGGAAGGATTAGGAGGTGTGGCCTTCCTGGAGGTGTGTCACCAAGGGTGGACTTTGAGGCGTCAAAAGCCCAAGCCAGGCCCAGTTTGTCGTCTGTCTGTCTGTCTGTCTGTCTGTCTGTCCACAGCCCCCTCCCCCCTTCCTCCTGTCTACAGATTACGATGTAAGCTGTCAGCTACCACTCCAGCCTCGCCCCCTGACCATCTCTAGACATGAGTGATTATAGACAAACACTTTGAAACTATGAGCAAGTCCCCAGTTAGATGCTTTTTTTTCCTTCCTTCCTTCCTTCCTTCCTTCCTTCCTTCCTTCCTTTCTTTCTTTCTTTCTAGAAATTGCCTTGGTCGTAGCGTTTCATCGCAGCCTTCAAACAGTAGCTTTCTTTTGTGCATGGAGTGCTGGGGCTTGAACCTAAGGACTCCACACACACACACACACACACACACACACACACACACACACACACACACACACACACACACACACACACTAGTCTGACAGTCTAGCATTGTGCTAAATCCCCACCTAGCCCTTCT